AAAAAAAAAAAAAAAAGTGGGAAAGGAAAATCTCTTTTCCTTTTAACTGCTACAAGTTTGCTACTTAAAAGGAAAAAACAGAGTAATTATTAAGGCGCCGCCAAGGAGAAACAGAGGAAATACAGAAATAGAGAAATAAACAAATTTAGAGAATTCACTCTGACAAATATTTGTTGAGCACCAGTGACGTTCAGGGTGCTCAGGATGCTTGGCTGGGGGACGTCCCAGCCCTGGAGGAGGTGACGCATGGTATGCTGAGTAGACACAGGCCGGACAAACTCTCTGCAGTACGAGACAATAGGAAAAGCAAAGCTATGGTGCCTGCCTGTAATCCCAGCATTTTGGGAGGCCAAGGCGGATGGACTGCTTGAGATCAGAAGTTTGAGACCAGCCTGGGCAACACAGTGAAACCCTATCTTTACAAAACAACCCCCACAACAGCTAGCAGGGCATGGCGGCAACGCCTGTAGTCCCAGCTACTCGGGAGGCTTGAGGTGGGCAGATGGCTTGAGCCCGGAGGGTGGAGGCTGCAGTGAGGCGGAGTGAGACCCTGTATCAAAAAAGAAAACTCAAGCAGGATGGAGAGTTTTTTCCCAGTTGAGAGGTCTCCAGCCTGGGTGACAGAGCGAGACTCCATCTCAACAAAAGCCCCCTAACGCCGTCTCCCCCAGGCTCCAAAGCCCCTCAGCAACGGCGTGCCTGGAAGACGTCCCTAGCTCCCCGACATGAGTTAGATGTTGTGGCCACCTGGGTGTGTGATGTGGGCAGAGGAAGAAATCTGTCTCAGGATTTTAACTTCCCTTAAACATGAAAGGAGCCAGAGTCTGGCCCAGGCCTTTGGAGATAAGCCTTTGCTTTCACTGTCTGCATCTCAAGAGCGAGCTGGGGTCCACGCCGGCCTGGCAGCTGGGAGCGCGGGACGCTTCCCACCCACTTTCTCACTGGGCGGCTGTGAGGGGGAATGAGGTGTTGCCGCAGGGCTTGTGACTTTTTGAGTTACATGTTTTGGTGAACAAAGAGAGGTTAGAGTTGACCACATCGCCAGACCCACGGAGGGGAGGTTTTGGGGCCACCTGAAATGGCTGAGCATGAGACTCCTGATGCTAGAGTCCTGGCGAGGGGGACGAGCTGCTCAGAGGGTGGCAGGTGGGTGTTTGCCTAATGTGAGCCCATGCACCACCCCTCGCTAGCTGCCTGAACTCCCCATCCCCACAAGCACCCCTTTCTAGAAGGACTGTCCCAATCCTGGATGAAGAGGGTCCCGGCCCAAGTTTTTGCCAAAAGCTCCGGGGGTGAGACATGCGGTTGGCTTCCTGGAAGGATGACTGCTCTCCAGGGCTGGGCTTCACGCATCCCTAAAATAGATGCCAAGGACACTGGCTGATATGCTGCCTGGCGGCCAGAAAGCAGCTTGGCACCGCCTTCCTACCCACCTGCCCACCGGTGAAGGGCCCGGCCAATGAGCCAGCGTTGCTTTGAGTCCAGGGATGGAGATCAAAGCTTACTTGGGCTTTTTCTTGCTGTCCTAAGAAGGGTGGTAAACAATTGTCGGTAGGGCCAGCAGCTGATGGGCTCTCCTTCCGGAGACGCTGGGTGGACAGAGACAGCGCCTTGCTCAGCAGCACTCAATGACAGCCTGACTGGCTGAGGCTCTAGGGCAGAGCGTATGTGCACACGTGAGGGAATGTGTACATGTGAGTACATGTGTGCATGAGTGGATGTGCATGCATGTGAACATGTGTGCATGAATGTGAGAGCATGCATATGTGCATGTGAGTGTGCATGTGATGTGGGTATATGTAGATGTGTATGCATGTGTGTGCATGTGATTGTGTGCATGTGTGTGGATTGCATGAGTGTGTTGTGTGCATGTGTGGATTACATATGTGTATGTAAACATATACGTGTGTGGATTGCATGTGTGTACATGAATGTGTGGATTGCATGTGAGTGCATGTGATGTGGGTATGTGTACATGAGTGTCCATGTAAGTATGCATGTGTTGAGTGTGCATGTGTAGATTGCATGTGATTGTGTGCATGTGTGGATTACATGTGTGAGCGTGTACATGTGTGTATGTGAACGTGGGTGCATGTGGGTTGCATGTGTGTGCATGTGGTGTGGGTATGTGTGCATGTGTTGAGAGTGCATGTGAGCATGTGGATTGCATGTGTATTGAGTGTGCATGTGAATGCATGGGTTGCATGAGTGTGCATGTGATGTGGGGGTATGTGTGCATGTGTGCACATGTGTGTGGATTGTATGTGTTGAGACTGCATGTGTGTGCATGTGTGGATTGCATGTATATGTGCATGTGTTGAGAATGTGTGCATGTGTGGATTGCATGTATGTGTGCATGTGTTGAGAATGTGTGCATGTGTGTGGGTTGCATGTGTGTTGTGTACATGTGAATGTATGGGTTGCATGTGTGTATGTGAATGTGCATGTGTGTGGATTGCATGTGTTGAGTGTGTGCCTGTGTGGATTGCATGTATATGAATGTGCGTGCATGTGAGTGGATTGCATGTATATGAATGTGTGTGCATGTGTGTGGATTGCATGTGTTGAGTGTGCCTGTGTGTGGATTGCATGTATATGAATGCGTGCATGTGTGGATTGCATGCGTGTTGTGTGCCTGTGTGTGGATTGCATGTATGTGAATGTGTGCATATAAGTGTGTGGACTGCATGTGCATTGTGTGCCTGTGTGTGGATTGCATGTATGTTGTATGCCTGTGTGTGGATTGCATGTATGTTGTATGCCTGTGTGGATTGCATGTGAATGTGTGCATGTGTGTGGGTTGCATGTGTGTTGAGTGTGTGCATGTGGATTGCATGCATGTGTGCCTGTCTGCGGATTGCATGTATGTGAATGTGTGTGCATGTGCGTGAGTGTGCACGTGTGTTGAGAGCTAGTGTGTGTGTGCCTGCATGGGCGTGTGAGTGTGGCTGTCCTCCCAGAAGCTGTGTAACTGCAGCGCTCCCCACAGCATAGTGAGGGGCTGGGAGAGCACCTCCGATTTCCAGGCCGTTTCTCTGTGCGGCTCTTTCCTAACTCGGCGCCTTCCCTGTGTGTTTTTTTCCCACCAGGGCCCAGTAGGAAGATGGGCTCCCGTGGACAGGGACTCTTGCTGGCATGCTGCCTGCTCCTGGCCTTTGCCTGTGGCCTGGTCCTGAGCCGTGTGCCCCATGATCAGCGGGACCAGCAGGCGTGGGAGGGGAATGAGGAGCCGCCGTCCCCGCCGGACCATGCCGAGAGGTGAGGTAGTAGCGGGAGCTCTGGCTCCGGCCAGGCCGAGCCTGGGGTTCAGGGCCCGCAGGGGGCTGGTTCACCGTGAGATGCGAAGGTCAGAAAGCCGGAGCTGAGCGGAGGCGTGGCCCTGCTGGCGGCCGGTCCTGAGGGACGGACGAGCCCTTCCTCCTTTCAGTGGCTTGGGCACCTCACGTGAAGCTCTGGACAGTGATCCAGCCTCACCCCAAGCCTAAAGGAGCGGGGTCTGCAATTGGCTTTGCAGCCACAGCTGACGTCCCAAGTAAGGAGCAGGCCAGGCTCTCAACCCACTCTCCAGGTCCTCCTTTTGTTCCCACGTTACCCATTGAGAATGTCTGCCAGGGTTCTAGACAGCATTTGGAGGCAGGGAGAGGTGACAAGTGGCCTTAGGAAAGATGCTGGCCCAAGAGCTGGTGTCCGCTGCCCATGCGCCTCACAGACTGCAGGACAGGAGGACTCTGGCTGGCATCTGCCTTCGTGTCTGCAACCTGCAAGGGCGGAGACTCCAGCCGACCTGGGGTGTTTCCTCGGGAAGCACAGAGTGCTTCAGCAAATGCCATGCATCCAGCGTGAGGTCCTAGAGACGCGGGGACAGCTCGAGCCTGGCTTGGAGTCTCTTCATTATTTTGAGCACTGGGCTGTCTTGATACTTGAGGCTTCAGGCTAACTTTAGTGTGCAGTGGAATCGGGCAGGACTTGAGGCTGAGTCACACCATTCTGTCCTTTCTTCCTCTCCCTCCTCTTTCTTTGATTGAGCTGCTCCTATCTGTCAGGCCACTCCCAGGCACGGTGTGGGGGATACATGAGGGGCACAGTCCTGGCGTCCAGGAGCTCTGAGGCTGAGAGGGAGACGGATCCATGAGAGACAGGGGCAGTGTGGCAGGCTCTGTAGTAGGGGCGTACCCGTGACGCTGGGGGCAGCAGAGGGAGAGGCAGGACCCAGGAAGACTAAGAGGAGGGAACTAGGTCTGGAAGGATACCTGGGGCCTCCGAGGTGCAGAAAGGAGGGGAAAGCCACCTGGGAGCCAGAACGACGTGTGCAGAGGCATGGCTGGCAGTGTTTGTTGGGCTGGTGGGTGGTTTGGGATGGTGAGACCCAGCGCTGGAGGCTGGAGGCAGCTGAGTCCAGCTGGGGAGGGCTTCGCCTGAACTCAGTCCTAGAGAGAACAGGAGGAGTCATGGGCAAGCTGAAATTGGACAGTGTTCTTGAAAGAATGCCCGAGGGAAGCAGCAGAGGGGACGAACTGGTGCGGGGAGGGGCAGATTCCAAGCGACGGTCAAAATGGCAGTGATGCATCAGAGGCGACGAGGGCCCTGGGCTCGGGTCTGGAGGTGCCTTGAGGCTGAGAACCCAGGACTCTGCTGAAGGTTGCAGGGGCGGGGGTAGGGGACACTGAAGTCTCCACCCTGGGTACCCACTGTTGATGCCAGGAATAGAGCTCAGGAAGAGAAGGTTCGAGGGGCAATGGGATGGGGACGGGGTTTCGGTTTTGCACAAATGACATTTATCTCCAGATGGAGGCTTCTGGGGAGAAGTTTGAAGTCAGGGTCTGGGGTTTAGGGGAGAGGTAGGGGTGAGATGTCCATCTGGGAGCCCTGGCTTATGGGTGGGTGGCTGAACTTGGGGCACAGAGATCCGTTTCCTGGATCGTCTGGGGTGTAAACGTGGAAGCAGTGTTAGATAGGGAGCTGGTCCATCGAGGGGGACTTTGCTGCCTCCATGGATCTGTCCGGCTCCACAGCCTGGGCCAGAAGAGCCTCAAGCCAGACCTCATGCAATGCCGCGAGGGGCTGCAAGGTGGCAGCCGGGAGCCGCCACCATCCATCCTGCCCTCGGGCTGGTCCTTCCAAAGTCACGTTGGGAACACTGCAGTCTCCAGCGGCTGCAGCTGAGAGGAATCCTAAAGAGCCAGTTGAACCGTCTCATTTACAGACGAGTCAGCCTCGTACGTTATTTGCTAGCATCACGGATATGTGATAGGGAGTCCCAGCATTGTCCTACGTCACCCAAAGATCCCCTCCTAGGGGTGTGGATTTCTCCTGAGCAGCCCCTGACTTGCATGGCGCTCAGTGGTGTGTTTCCAGGACTGTCATTACCTTTAGCAAAGGGCAGGGGGGGGCTCATTCCGTGGGAGGACCCTGTGGCATGGGCCATGATCCCGACAGCATGAACACAGAGCCTGTGGGCCCAGGTGAGAGGCGGAGGAGGCAGGTCAGGCATGCCAGACCCACTGGTGGCAGGAGAGAGATGCGTTTCTAGGCCCGAGAGTTCCTGACTTTCACTGTGATGATTTATTCCCTCAGGGACGAACAACATGAAAGATACAGCCCCAGCCGGGGCCAGGGGCTCCCGGCTTCCCAGTGTTTGCGCTGCTGCGACCCCGGGACCTCCATGTACCCGGCGACGGCAGTGCCCCAGATCAACATCACCATCTTGAAAGGTCAGATGACTGCAAAGACAAGCACAGGGGTGGCCGGGCGGCTCTGTGCCAATCTGGAGGAAGGGATGGAGTCGTTAGGGTGGGGCTGGGCTGAGCAGAGTGGTTCCTTTGGGACAGGGAGCAGAGGAAGGCAGGCTGTCATCCAGAGGGAAGGCACAGGAAATTCTGATTTTGAGGCTCTGGCCTCTCTCCAGGAGGAGGGATTGGAAAGGGGCCCACAGGGTCCAGAGCAGGAGCAGGAGCCCAGAGGCTGCTCAGGGCCTCGTCCCTCCACTTGTGTTTAGACACCAGGCTTCTATACCCTTTGATTTGGGGTTCGGTACCCCCAGCCTGCATGCTGAAATGCCACCTGCTCACCGTGGCCCTGCAGACGGCAGATGACCCTGCACAGCCTGTGAAATCTAACTGGGAACACTTGCCGCCTAGACCCTGAGCCGAGCCCTGACATCTGCAGTTCATTTGCTCAGAGCGAGCGTGGGTCTGGCCGCAGAGACCATTGCTTTTGGACCAACCTGTATGTTCCTTTCTTTTTTTTTTTTTTGCCAGTGCTTTCCAGAAGGAAAATAAATTATTGCTTCTGGGTGAAAATAGAACAGTTGTTGAGGTTGAGTCTGGTTGCTTGGCCAGTTTGGGAATCCAAATACCCCTGTGCTGGCATGGGAAGCCGCCCGGGGCTGGGGGCAGGAGCGAAGCTTCTGCCGGGTCAGGGCTGTGAGGACGAATCGGGTCTGCTCCAGGGGCCACAGCGTGAAGAGCCAAGGCTCAGGAAGCCACCGGATTGCTCCATTAACGGCACATGTTTTCCTGTCCCTTTTAGGCGAGAAGGGTGACCGCGGAGATCGAGGCCTTCAAGGGAAATATGGCAAGACAGGCTCAGCAGGGGCCAGGGGCCACGCCGGACCCAAAGGGCAGAAGGGCTCCATGGGGGCCCCTGGGGAGCGGTGCAAGAGCCACTATGCCGCTTTCTCGGTGGGCCGGAAGAAACCCATGCACAGCAACCACTACTACCAGACGGTGATCTTCGACACGGAGTTCGTGAATCTCTACGGCCACTTCAACATGTTCACCGGCAAGTTCTACTGCTACGTGCCCGGCATCTACTTCTTCAGCCTCAACGTGCACACCTGGAACCAGAAGGAGACGTACCTGCACGTCATGAAGAACGAGGAGGAGGTGGTGATCCTGTTCGCGCAGGTGGGTGACCGCAGCATCATGCAGAGCCAGAGCCTGATGCTGGAGCTGCAGGAGCAGGACCAGGTGTGGGTGCGCCTCTACAAGGGCGAGCGCGAGAACGCCATCTTCAGCGACGAGCTGGACACCTACATCATCTTCAGTGGCTACCTGGTCAAGCACGCCTCCGAGCCCTAGCTGGCCAGCCACCGCCTTTCCTCTGCCACCTCCTGCCCCTGCGCTGTGCGGACCCCACCGCCTCTTCCCCCATCCCTGGATTCTGCCTCCTGGCTTTGGCATTCAATGAGACACCCCGCACGCCTGGAAAGCCAGGGCGGCCAATGCTCCCAGATCCTGCAGCCTCTGGAGAGGGCTGACGGCAGATGAGATCACCAGGGCAGGGCGCCCGCAAGAACCCTTGGGGGCCTTCTGCTGCCCTTTCTGCACGAATCCTCAAGTGACCCCACGCAGCGAGACGTGTGTGGCGGCAGGGCGTCCCACGGTGCGGCACTGTGGCTCCAGTCCTTGGAAATAATTAGGCAAATTCTAAAGGTCTCAAAAGGAGCAAAGTAAACTGTGGAGGACAGAGAAAAGCGGTTACTTTTGTCTTTCCAGCCAGCCTGCTGGCTCCTGAGAGAGGGGCTTTTTCACTCGAGCTCCGCTTAAGAGAAGATCCAAAGTTAAAGCCGTGGGGCCCGGGGAGGGGGCTGGGGGCAGGAAACCACCTCTGGCTTACTTCTTTTAAGCCACGTAGATGCTTTCTTGAGGGACAGCTGGACCCCGACATCCCTGTGGCCTTGTCCAAGAGCTCAGCTGGTCTTTCTGAGTCACAGCTGCGAGGAGATCTGGGCTGGGGTCGCAAGCATCAGCCCCCCAGAGGGACAGCTGAGTGCCCTGCCATTGGCTCTGGGCTGGCAGAAGCAGCTGAAGGGCTCCTGACAATGGCCAGGGACCTGTGGGTCCCCCAGGCCTGCAGATGTCTCTATGGGGGCAGAGCTCCTGGTGTATCCATGTGTGGCTGCCTCACCCCCTGTGCTACTCCAGAGCCCTGGGTGGTGGTCCCTGGTGTCAGCTTTCTGTGCTGCCTCCCATGTGGACCAGCCCCAGAAGGCCCCGGGGCCTGGGCTTCTGTTTTTTATAAAATGCCTCACGCAGCACCGCAGTCTCCTTGTGGGCTAAGCATCCCCATTTCCGCATGTGCCGTGTTGTTTGCAGCGAGGCTGATCCAGACCCCTTCCGCCCCCTCCGCCCTCACCCAGCCTCTGACCAGCAGCCTGAGAGGGGCTTTCTCTGGGCTTCAGAGCAGGGGGAGCTGGAAGGGGCTAGAAAGCCCACGCTTGCCTGTTTGTCAGGCTCCTGTGAGCCTCAGTCCCGAGACCAGAGTCGAGAGGAAGTGCACGTCCCAACCCCCCAGATTGGGACTCACTCTCAGGAGCCGGGTGGCAGGAGAGGCAATACCTTTGGCAATTTCCAGACCACCTGGAGCAGGGCCGCGGCGTCTCTGTGGTGCCCTGGCATGGTTGCCAGCATCCTCTGCTCTCCAGGAACCCCGCAGCCCCTCTCCACCTCACCCCACGTTGATGCCCAGGGGCACTCTTGCTACTTGCTGGCCCCCAAACCCCGGTGCCTGTCTTCCTTCCCTCCCCATCCCCCACCTGGTTTTGACTAATCCTGCTTCCCTCTCTGGGCCTGGCAGCCGGGATTGGGGTCTGTACGTCCCTCTCTTTAAAGAACTTCTGCGGGTCTTCTGAAAGCCGGGTTCCCGTGGGCGTGCCTGGAAGCAGAGTGTCACTCGCTGTTTTGCTCACGCTCCCCCAGCTCTTTCAGAAAACATTAAACTCAGAACCGTGTTTTTCAGCATCCTGCCTTGTCCGCTTGCTCATTCAACCGAATCCTCCACGTCTTCTCCTCTCTAGCCCAAGGCCCACTCCTGCCTGGGAGGCCCTCGGCTTCGTACCTGGGGACATTGGTACCCCGCAGGTGCATGCTGGCCCTGAGGTGCCTTGCTCCTCCCTCGGTGCAGGCTCCCATGGGTGGCGCAGCCAGAGTGTGTCTCAGCTGCAGCTGGACGTGTGCCCGAGTTTGGCTCCTGGGGCCTGGGTGGGTCTGGGGACTCGTGAGAGGTGGGTGGGAGGCAGGGGCTTGCTCTCCTGAGCAGGGCTGCTCTGTCCCCCGGGAGGGAAAGAAATTGTGGAGGTAGCAGTTTGGCCGTGGTTCTGCAGCCTGGACACTGTGTTCCTTTCCCAGGGCTGCCGTGGAAACCGAGGTTGGGGGATGGGCAGCGTAAGGCTCCATAGGAGGGTCCTTTCTGCCCCTTCCGGCTCGTGGTAGCCCCAGGCACTCCTTGGCCTGCGGCTGCATCTCCCCAGGCTCTGCCCCCATCTCCACGTGGCCCTCCCCTCTGTGTGTCTCAAATCATTCTCTCCCTTCCCCTACTACAACATCTGTCGTTGGATTCAGAGTCAGGTAAATATTTAGGACCCACTGTAAATCCAGGATGGCCGTCTGTCTAGATCCTAACTTAATTACATCTGCAAGCACTCTATTTCCAAATAAGGTGACAGTCACAGGTAGCAGAGGTAGGGACTTGGACATATCTTTTTTCGGGGGATACAGTTCACCCACTGCCACGGCCTGTAGCTTGAATACACCCATCAGCAGCCCCCGTGTTCCGCAGTGGTGCAGAGCAGCTGTTCCTCCTTAACTCCACCACTTGCCAACTAGATTAGCAGCCAGGCCCCGATCCAGCTGTCGGCGGGCAGCACAGAAGCTCCTTCACTCTCTCTGGTGCCAGCAGGCTGCAAACAGCTGATCTCCTTCCTCTGCCTGCTCCTGGGGTGAGCCCACGTGGTCATGCTTGGCCTTGGGCTAGGGCCAGACTAGATCAGGCAGACCCTGAAATCCTGCTCATGGTGGGAGAAGAAGCAGGTCTCCACCTCCGCGGAGTTCAGGCCACTCAGCAGAGGACGTGCTTCCCAGGCAGTGGGGAGCAGGGGCTAAGCGTCCTTCCCAGAGGTGCCTGGAGGGAACCAGCCAGCTTCATACAGGTGCCCAGTGACTACCCTCTCCAGGGACAGAGTCACGTGGACCATGTAACATCTTTTTTTTTCTTTTTTTTTTTTTTTTTTGAGATGGAGTCTCTCTCTGTTGCCCAGGCTGGGCTGCAGTGGTATGATCTTGGCTCACTGCAACCTCCGCCTCCTGGGTTCAAGTGATTCTCCTGCCTCAGCCTCCCGAGTAGCTGGGACTACAGGCACGCACCACCATGCCCGATTAATTTTTTGAATTTTTAGTAGAGGCAGGGTTTCACCATGTTAGCCAGGATGGTCTCAATCTCCTGACCTCATGATCCACCCACATCGGCCTCCCAAAGTGCTGGGATTACAGGCATGAGCCACCGTGTAACATCTTAGAAGAAAGCCAAGGCATACATCTTCATGACCTTGGATTAGGTAATGATTTCTTAGGTATGACACCAAAGGTACAAACAACAAATCCCAAGCTCCTGCGGGAAAGGAGGCAGGGTCTCCTCCAGGGCCCGCCCCATGCTCCTTTTAACACCCCTCTATCTTCGGGGTTTCCCCAACCCCAATCTTTTCAGGCTGGCATTTACGCTCCACCCATTCTTCCTCCAAACATTTCCCTTGCTCCTGCTTTGTGGCAGACCATGTGGTAGGCACTGGAGGCATAAGGACAGATAAGATACGGTCCTTGGCTTCCTGAGGACTTTCCCAGGGTTTCAACTGCAGTGTGACACAGAGGCAGCCTTCTCAGAAGAGCTGCATGCTTGGTACCAAATGATCTGCTCCACCTGATCCCCTCCCCATGCAGTTGATTTTGACAGGGTCCTCTCCCAGTTTCCTGTCCCAAACTGGTGAGAAATTGGCTAGCCATCTCAGTCAAGGGCCTGGAAAATTCAGTTGCAATACAAATATCAGTGTTTTAGCAAATCAACTTAGAAATGGCTGATGACTCAGCCAAAGGAAAGAACTGCTTATATGAGGACTTTCAGGAGCTTTTGTAGTCAGGGGTGGGGATGGGGAGGGCATGACCCAACACTAGTCCTCAAAGAGAATTTTCTGTAAGTTCCCCTATGGGAACACAGTGGCATGATGGCAAGCTGATTTTATTCAGCCATAATGACTGGAATGAAATGAGACATTGTTGCCCAAATTATTGAAAAAATGGAACATAACAGAAAATAATAAATAATGCTAGATGTCCTGACATGTGAAAGAATGGAGTTGGGCCCCTACCTCACACCATATACAAAAATTAAACATGGATCAAAGGCCTAGACATAAGAGCTAAAACTACAAAATTCTTAGGAGAAAGCCCAGGCGTACATCTTCATGACCTTGGATTAAGTGATGATTTCTTAGGTATGACACGAAAGGTACAGGCAAGAACACCAAAAAAAAAAAAAAAAAAAAAAAAAAAAAAAAAAAAAAAAAAAAAGATCAACTGCACATCATCAAATCTGTAAACTTCTGTGTTTCAAAGGACACCATTAAGCAAGTGAAAAGACAACTCACAGAATGGGAGAAAATAGTTGCTAATCATATATCTGATAAGGAATTTGTCTCCAGAATATATAAAGAACTCTTGCAACTCAATAATAAAAAGACAAATAATCCAATTAAAAATGGGCAAAGGAGCCCACACTTCTCCAAAGGAGATATACAAGTAGCCAATACACACATGAACAGGCGTAATCACCAGGGAAATGCGAGTCAAAACCCACAGTGAGACACAGCTCTACAACCAACGGGAAGGCTACAGTCAAGAAGACAAATGACAACGTGTGTTGGTGAGGATATGGAGCCGCTGGAGCCCTCACCCACAGCTGTCAGGAATGCAAAATGGTGAGGCCTCTTTGGAAGACAGCCTGGCAGTTCCTTAAAATGTTAAGCATAGACCTACAGCTGACCCAGCCTTAACACTTCTAGGTATATATCCAAAAGACATGAAAATATACGCCTATGAAAAGCTTATAGATAGATGTTCATAGCAGCATTATCAGTAATAACCAAGAAGAGATCGATGTTCATGGCAGCATTATTCTTAATAACAAAGAAGCAGGTACAACCCAAATGCCCATCAGCTGATGAACAGATAAACAAATGCAGTCTATCTATCCAATGAATATGATTCAGCAATAAAAAGGAATGAGGTACAGTCACATACTACGACATTGGTAAACCTCAGAAACGTTATCCAAAGGGAAAGAAGTCGGACACAAAAGGCCACACGTTGCATGATTTCATTTATACAAAATGTCCAGAATAATCCAAACTAAAAGTTACTGAATTGTACACTTTAAATGGACAATTCTATGGTATGTAAATAATAAACAGCGGTTATAAAAATAAACAACATAAAACCAGAAAATCAGGCTGCCGTGTCCTTCTCTGTTGAGGGCCAGGAAGTCCTGGAGCTCGAGTCATGACCTTCAGAGTTGGTCCCGTTGTTCTGGGCTTGGCTTATGATGGTGCTGGGCCAAGGGCCAGTGAGATGGGATGGGAGTGTCAGGGTTACTTTTTCCAAGAACATTGTTGAATAAGCATTTTTGAATCAACTGGTGGGTGAGATCACAGAGTCCACGGGAGGCTGATGCAGGTGCCAGGGGAAGCATTCCACAAGGAATGACTAATCGAAGACCATGGCTTCCTTTCTAAAGTCCCTGCACAGCTGGGCAGGCATGGGAGGCTATGGTGACCTCAAGTGCTCCCGTATCCAGCTCCTCCTAGGGCAGAACGGAGTGAGCCCATTTCTCATTATGCAGATGGCCAGGCAAGGACAAGGCATTTCCACTTTAGAGGCTTTTGCGGATAGAAGTCCATATGTCTGAAAAATTTGGAAACCTCCTTGTCTAAAGACAGGAAACGCTCCAACTGATCAACTGGCATAGTGACTACGTTAGTTCTCCACGCGACCTGAGATCCCGCCTATTAAGATATTCCACAAGAATGTATTAAATGTTTACCACATAGGGGAAAAAATCTCTTACCATGTAGAGTGTTTTATCACAATCAAAATATAAAATAACTATGCTTGCTACATTCTGGGAGTTAAAAAGAAAGACAGGATTGATAATTGTGGCAGAAAACTTTAATGATGATGATGATGATGGTGGTGGTGCCGATAGTGGTGATGGTGGTGGTGATGGTGATGATGGTGGTGGTGATGGTGATGATTGTGGTGGTGATGATGGTGGTGGTGATGATGGTGGTGGTGATGGTGATGGTGGTGATGATGGTGATGGTGGTGGTGATGATGGTGGTGATGATGGTGAGGATGGTGGTGATGGTGGTGATGATGGTGGTGATGGTGGTGATGATGGTGGTGATG